TGCCCCCCAAAATGTTCCAAGCCATACGTGCAGCATCTGTCTCAGAACCTGTCCATCGTGCACCAGCCCCTACCTTGCCTCCACCTGCTGTATTGCTACCTCTTGCTGTTCCAGCTTCTCTCGGCTCTTTGCTCTCGTTGACACAACTTGCTTCCCTTGGACCGAGGATGAACCTCGCGGACTTTTGCTCTGCTTATGAACTTTCACAAATTCTTCAGTCAAAACTCTCAGATCATGGTTTCATGTCTTCGCATTCCCTTCATTATGTCACTGTTGATGATTTGCAAAAAGTGGGCTTACTTTGTGGAGAACTTGCTGAGCTCAAGGATGCAGTTGCCCGCTGGTGTGGTGAATAATTGTTACGTGTTATGTGTTATGTTTTTTTATTGTTACTCTCGCTCTGCATGTTCTATTGTTTCTTGCTACTCTCTCACTTTGCACACTGCTGCTCGATTATCGATAATGTTTGTATTCTAGAAGTACCCTGAATGACGCATGTATCCCTGTGCATCCTCCGCCGTAATGATCTCCAGGGCCTCTCGTAAATCATACATAATCCTGTCATTGTCCGCTGCTGCAGAAAACAGGTCATAGTTACGATGAATCCATGCCTTGAACTTCAAAAAGGCTTCCTCAATTGGGTTGAGATCAGGGGAGTAGGGAGGTAAAAATCTAATTTGTACACCTGCTCCGAGTCACATTACTAGAGTACATCGATACTATGTAAGATAGACATACCAAATCTGTCTGCAAGCTCACGAATTTCTTCGCCATGGTGGATCCGAGCATTATCCATGATCCACACACTATTCTTGCCAGGATAAGCCTCGCAGTTGGGCAACTATCAATGAACATCAATTTACGAGAACAATCAAGTTTGATAAGTACTGAGTCCTGACTCATGACAGAATGTTCGAGAAAGTGAAGGTATCCATTGCGATGCAGAGATCCTTCCAGAACATGTCCCGCAATGATTCCATCCATCGTCAAAGCAGCTGCTACTGTGAAGCGCCGTCCACGAACAAATGCACCCTTCATGCTTGCATATTGGCTCCTCTTTGCTCTTCCATACCTCTGGATTTGTGTTTGTTTGTCTTTCGACATCTCATCGATAAACAACAGTTGATCTGGTGTATACTGTGCCATCTGTCGCTTGAAGTCTGCATGGACGTCTTTGTTGCACTCCTTCACAATCTTGTGGAGTTTTTTGAGTGAGATGCCAGCTTGGGTGAGCTCTCGGTGAATTGTAGAATAATGGACAGAGATGTAGTGATTGTGTTGCATAAGCATTGTCAGCTCATCGAGAAACCAATCAGGACGGTGATGAATTAGTTCTAGAAGGTAATGGAGGTCTTCGAGATTGAAAACACGCGGACGACCAGCATATCGGCTCCTTGGCTTGACAACATTGCCAGTCACAGTGTAGAGCTTCTTGATTCTATAGAACATCATGCGGGAGAAGCCAATGCAGTCGAGGATCTCGTCGAGTCTAAGAATTCCTTGTTCATGCAGGCGAATAGCTGCCAGCTTCAAATCAGCCGATATCTTCTTGTTGCCCATGGTATTGACGATTGTGGTATGCAAGTCTCATAAAATTTACGCTAAGTCTTTTTTTGGTCTATGTTATCATTTGTTTTACATTGAGGCACCAGTACCATTACATATGCAAACGGCTGTAAGGTAGCAGAGTCAACAGATGATCATTAGGGATGTTCAAAGTTGGGTGCCCAATGCCCAATGCCCAACCTCATGACCAGAATGAGTATACCTAGAATAAATAGAAGTAAATACCGAGTAAAGTCACCCAAGCCTACATGATGAGATAAGCTACCTAAACCTTGTCGCGCGAAGCACCGAAACCTTCGCCAAACGTCTCCCCCTAATCCTCAGCATTTCTAAACCTTCTCAACCTTTTCATACTCTTCTCGTACCTAAACCTTGCTGTTCCCAAACCTTTCCATACCCCTACCTTTTTACAGTCTTTTTTTTGTACCTAAACCTTTGTGTGCCTTAGGAGACCTTTCACTTTTTATTCCTAATCCTTTCCTAACCTTCAGCAGACTATTTGAGTTGTTTTTGAGGCTCAGACATAATTTTTCCTTGTGGAATTCCAATGAAATTGGAAAAAAAAAACATGCAGCTACATGTTGCTACAATCAAATATATGACAAGGTTGTGGTGAGGGCTAGGAACGGCGAGGTTTAGGTAAGAGAAGAGTATGAAAAGGTTTAGGAACAGCAAGGTTTAGGTACGAGAAAAGTATGAAAAGGTTTAGAGTCTGTTCGGATAAACCAAATTTTGCCAAATTTCAGAAATATGGTGCTTGTAATGCTGGGGGTCAGTGTGACATATGTGACAAGCCATATCGATAACATGCCCGCTACACGATCTACTACTAGATTGACTCATTCAAGTCGTAACTGCTGTGGACATCTACAACACACCATGGTCTGTGGAAGGAAGAGCGCACTGGAGGGTCAAGATGTGTCTGAAACCAAAGACCGATGCATCTGGACACAAGATGACGAAACACACCTCATCCAGTTCATCACTACACACCAGTCTAAGGGTGGCGATGGACTGAACTTTGACAGGACCTTCTGGACCTCTGTTGCTACTGAGATGACTAAACATACTACACAAGGTGCACCAAAGATGCTCGAAACATGTCAATCAAAATGGACACGGGTAAGTTTTTATTGCATTGCATCAGTACTACTAGCCTAGAGTCTGTACTGATAAGACCTTCAGCTCCGTAGCATGTTTGGTGTTGTCGACAAAGTAGCGAACTATTCTGGCTTGTCATACAGTCTGGACCATGGCACCAACATTACAGCTGTATCTGAGACGGTATGGACTGAGATATTGAAAGTAAGTGCTGCCAATGCTCCGCTACCACTGGCAGCTACTAATATGATGCAGTCTACTCCCGCCGCAAAGCCATTCAAGAATAAAGGCTGGGTGCACTACGAAGCAATGAAGGAACTCTTGCCATCAAAAACATGTGGCAACCGTGCTTTCTACACCCGCATGCCTGCCGATAACGTTGCACTGGTAGGGGCTCTGGGTCAAGCTACCACTTCTCAGCCCCTACCTGGCACGAGTTTTGATGAAGCCAATATAGTTGGCCAGGAGAAAGCATTGGACGACATCGAGTATGGTGCTGACACTTCACCAGATGTAGATATCAACATGTTGCCACCCTCTCTCCCTTTGATGCGGCACAACGACCCACCTTCACACCCTCTACGCCGGGCACTTCTACTATTGGCAGTGGTAAACGAAAAGCAGGTGGAGAGTCAGGTGACAATATGAGAACCTTCGCTCGCCCTCCGGGCTCTACAAAATCCGCATCCGAGTCAGGGAAGTCCATCAAGTCACAGCGTGTGGCTATCCCACAAGCTTTCCAAGACATGAGTAAGGAGATTAATAATCTCACCAACTCCTTTGATCGTGCAACAGATGTCATGCAAGAGCGCACAACTCAGGTTGCCTCACGTCCCATGGTGGATCCCATTCCGGTGCGCAAGCAGAAGGCTATCATTCAGCTGCAGAAGGAGGGTCTGGAGGACCATGAAATAGTGGAGATTATCAAGCATTTCCAAGCTGATGTTGCCATAGCTGATTCATACCTTGTCATCGAGAAGGAGAGCACCCAGAAGCTTTTCTTATCAACCTACTTGAACTAGATTTTTGCTGTATCATGCTTGCATTTGACGTTGTTAGTACTACTAGAAGTAGTACCGAATATCATGACACTTTGTTGCGCAACTGTCTATGAAACATTGACGCAAACGACTACGAAAAATTGATGCAAATGACTATGAAAAATTGACGCAAACGACTACAAAAGATTGTCCCCTATGACCGACTGACCTCTCTGCTGTCTCATCCGACAGTAGTCCTCCCACATCCGAAGGGCAATCGCATCATGATGTTGGTGTGCACGAGTGCGTGCCTCTGCAGTGGGAGGACCTTCTGCAAGTGTGCCGACATCATACTCAGGCTCATTCAAGTCAACCTGGTGGTAGTCCATCATATCATTCGGGTCGTGAATACGGATGACATTGTGCACCAGGCACAATGCCACAGGGATACGAACCTGCACATCCATTGCATAATGAGGTGGGAGAAGCAGGATTTTGAAGCGGTTCTTGAGCACGCCAAAAATACGCTCAACGACGTTTCGGAGCATGGCGTGGCGTAGATTGAATAGTTCTCTGTGATTACAAGGCCTAAAAACAATATAAGTACAAGTAGATTGTAGCCTAAGTTGAATATTACTTACACCTGACGTCCACGACCCCATTCAGCGAGATGGTAGCGTACTCCACGATATGGCACAAGTAGCTCGTCACATGCAGCAAATCCTGCATCAGCAAGATAGTATTTGCCTGGAGGGATGTTGAATTCTGTAATGCGAGTATCATGATAGACACATGCATCGGCTGCCAACCCCTCCCAGTCATTCAGTATATAAAGGAACGACATGTTGAAGGAGCAGGCTGCGAGACAGTTGTAACTTAAGTTGCCTTTACGATCACGAGCTGCATCACGATCATTGGCACTAGGGTGGCATGCGATATGAGTACCGTCTATAGTGCCGATGGCATCAGAGAAGTATGGGTAGTATTTGGGGTTTTGAAGGATTTCGGGAGGTGTCGGACTGTCTGCACTGGGTAGCCGAACATATAATGAATAAATTGGGGGGGGGAGGAAAATGCATTGAGAATACGTTTGAAATACCTTCAAAAATAAGCAAATTTGTCGCTAACCAGTGCTGGGGAATAACCTACTTTGATATCGTCTCATTGGAGTGCTGAAAGCATTCACCAAGATGGCGAACAGAGAGACCTGTGACACATGCATACAAGAAGATGGCGAGCTGCTCCTCAAGCATGACATATTTTGAACTCTTGCACCCTGAATCGCGAAGTAGATTCAACAGTACATAGAACACATGGCGCCGCACACCAAGTTCACATTGTATGCGATCTGGGTGTCCTGTGAGGAGTTCGTTGACCCATGCCATTCCAGACAGGGCTGAAGTATGATAGGGCTGCTTGTCATAGTGAGTTTGTGAGTGATCTTGGAGTACTTGGCCAGCAGCATCAGCAATAGCCATTGCTACACGAGCAGCACCGCGGAACATATTGTCTATCCAGTGCAGCTTGTATACATCCAGCTGGTCAGAGTCCACCGCATCAGCACAATTGGGATCTTCATCCGCACTGTCATTGTGTTCCTCGATGATGGTGCCATCTTGGTCTAGTGGGTCTAGCAGATCGAGGTCAGCATTGAGGTCATTGGGATCCATGGTGTTGCACAACAATATCACATATGGGCTCATCAATATCACTGTTATCAGTGTGACATCATTTTCGGTCTCTGACTATTTGGTCTTGTATGTGTTAAACTGGAATTTCGAAGTTGGTTGGCAAAAAACATTGTCTGAACAGACCCTTAGAAATGCTGAGGATTAGGGGGAGACGTTTGGCAAAGGTTTCGGCGCTTCGTGCGACAAGGTTTAGGTAAGTAGCTTATCTCATCATGTAGGCTTGGGTGACTTTACTCGGTATTTACTTCTATTTATTCTAGGTATAATCATTCTGGTCACGAGGTTGGGCGTTGGGTGTTGGGTGTTGGGCATTGGGCGCCCAACTTTGAACGTCCCTATTACACACTGAGATCCTAGATGCCCGTCTTGTTCAATTTTTTGCTAAATATCGAGTGACATCCTCGGGCTGTCACGTGTGTATTACAGTTGATAGTAGTACTGATGTTTCTATCATTAATGCGCACTCTATTCCAGTTAATCAACCAACAGTCGCACACCTGACATGCATGTCGGAAGGAGAGCGGAAGTAAAAGATACGTGAAAGTGAACTCAAGGACAAACCCGCAACATCGCACAACCATAAAACCAGTCACACCTCATATGCAACAAAGTCATTAGCCTCTCGCAACTCATGCCTCCAAGCCTACTAAGCGATGATTGGCGTGATTGCTCAAGCTTCATACGCAAGGAAACATGAACCCCCGAGCATGCTCAGCAGCAGTGTATGATTACTCTGGCAGCACTAGTCCTGTATGTGATGAGCTTTCGTGGCTTTCAAGCTGGTTGAGAAAAATAATAATTTCAAAGTCCGCTTGATGTAAGGGTGAGACCGAGACATCTTAAGCTTAACCTCAACAACGCATCAACTGGTGGACTATAACTTCCTCTTGTAAAGTTATAAAGGACATACTGTCTCCAGTTATAGGACTAACATGCGTAGCTTCTACTATAACTGGAGACAATATATCATCTCAAAGATCGAGGTACGTCCCGCCGAGTGCCGTACTCCTGAAGTTCTTAGCAAGATATTGATTGTGGCATATGACTCAGGATCGTGCAGAGATTGCTAATTTCCATGTTGATAGGCTGGGCCTCGAGGCCTCCAAAGCTTCAAGCTCAAGCCAGATGGTCGATGCAAGGTTGAGTAGCAACTCGAGTCCGTGGCAGGTATAAATTTGAAGTTCATAGCTTATCGTGTCAGGGTACTTGTTGCTTAAGGGTACACACCACCGCCGTGACTGTGCATCAAGTACTTGGACTTCGGGAGTCACATTCATGCAGACCGATTGTCCAAATGTTTGGGTTTAGTACCTCTTCCTAACAGGACGAGAAGTTCCAGATTCTATTCGCTGAGCCCAAGTTTGTGTTGGCAACTGCCACCAATGTTGTCTGGGCATGATGTAATTTGAGCTCAAATAACGCGTTGTTCATCTAGCTCGATTGTATGGATCTTGAAGTCAATGCTGATGGTGGAGATGAACGAGGGTATCCACGCATCGCCGCAGAAAAGACAGGACTAGATTGCATTCTTGATCCTACCCTCTCAAACTTATTCTATTATTATAGCAGAGCCCCTTCTTCTACGTGTACGTCAGCGTCCTTCTTTGCGGTAATCTAGATGCATTGAGGGTCCAAGTTTATTGTTCATACAATTTCAGGTTGCCTGCAGGTGTCAATTTTAGGTGCATAATTTGCGCCCCAATATGTTCAGAAGTTCAAAACACGGCGCTCACTCGAATATAAGAGAGGCTTGCTTTGCGACGTACTCCTTTGTACTTTTGTGCCTCTTGAATTGTTGGTTACCACCTCAAGTCTTTGTCCAACCCTTCATATAAGTACTTCAATATCACAAGTACCTCTCGTTCAACAGACCATGTTGGACTTATTCTCCAAAGATTGAATCATCAACGAGACAGGACTTAGAGCCGCCTTACATCATCTGGACGCAATCTCAACTTCAGGTGCAACTGGATTACAAGCCACGATCGAAAACTTACTCTCATCACCCCACGTTTTTGCCTATATCATTTCTGGTATCTTACAGACTTTCTTCTTGCGCCACCAGCTCTGACTCTGTAACAGTTTGGGATCGCTCTGAGAGAATTATCTCGCAGATCTTGACAGACTTTCCTAAAAAATCTCAAGAATATCCTTCATCCCTTGCGAGCAAGATTCTGGACAATCTGTCTATATGTTTCTTAGCTTTGCCAGTCGAGTCTCTGGAGATGGAAGTCTCAAGGGACATCAGCCGCCACAGAGGCTTCATCGAGGGCACTTTACCCTTACTTCGTGCCTTGAGCACCATGAAATTTTCCAGCGCCAATTCCTTTGAAGACGAGAGCGATCTCTTCGACATCAAACCTGATGAAGGATTCGTCAAAATGAAAGTGCATCAAAAAATGTGCAAGCAACATCGCCAGAAACCTCAGCATGCGGGTATCAACACATCACTGTTCGCCAGGCTCGATGTGGCTGTGCCTACCACGAGTAATGCGGCCACAGCATTATCCACTCACATTCTTGCAGAGCTGAAGCAAGTGCTCTCGGTATGTATGGTCACTATGTACCTGTCAACGTTTCCCCTGACAGCTTCCCCTAAGTTATACCTCTTGCTTCTGCGGTGGACGGAATTAGCGGACGACATCAAAGCCTTACTCTTCCCAAATGTAGAAGAGTCTGCCAAAGATGTCGCACCTGAACTTTCGTCCCCCAAAGATGTCGAGAGCTCAACAGAGTCAAAAGTGTACCCGATGGTGCAGCCCATGAAGGCTGCTCTTTACTTTGACAACGCGGATGGGTTTGGAGAGTGGCGGATCCTTGTATCTACCGAGGCTTATAACAATCTGCATGAATACCGTTGAGCGGACCAGGAAATATTCAAGAACATTTTCAAGACGATCAGGTCCGTCTTTTAATGATATCTATAGTGCCAATTTGATATTTTCCCAGACATCTCTTGCACGGTCACTTCTCAAGCGACAATCAAAAGAGGCTCGATGGAACAGATGCAGGAATTCCGGTCTTCGAAGCCAAGTTGACCAAGGATCTATGGCTCGTGGTAGACGTAATTTCCAATACACACTGAGAAGAAAATAACCTCGTTTCTCTTACAGTACCAGATTGATTGCATCCCTGACCAGGATGGAGAGGTATGTTATTCTTCCACAAAGACGTGTAAAAGATACTGAAACCGATTCTTGATAGTCTGAGAGACAAGGTGCACCGTCATGCATCAAGAGCGAACATCGCTTACCTATCACTCACACGAATGCCAGTCATCAAAGTGTACGGGATCTATAAACACTCTGAGCTTGGCAGAATATGGAATGCCTTGGGCAACCATCTAGCACGCAAGGGGGCTGAATATTGCAGACGGTTGAGAACGCCTCTTACCTATTGATGTAAGCTACTGAACCATTGCTCTATCAGATGCATCTTCCGCACCAAGGCAGCCAACAATGTTATTCTGCCAGCCTCATTCCCGCCGGCAGAACCTGAGCCAGAAATCCCAGCGAGTCCGTTGGATCTCAGTGCTAAGGACATGGATGATGTTGAGTGTTTGTATCCTTTAGCTTCACCATAATTGATATGTGGTGTAGCTTCACACCTTGCTGGTGTAAGAATGAATGTTTTTTTTCCGATCTGACACACTGTGATTAACGATTTTTTAGCCTAGAGAAATACGTAACATTCTTGCAGGTGAGTTTATCTGCTCAGTTCTTCGATCAGCAATGACTTGATGATATCATATTAGGCTTTTTTGCATAGTGAGTTACCGCATGTACTCGGTCATCCTCATTTCTCATTCTCGCAAAAGGTCTCATCGCAAACGAAGACATACACCACGCCTTCATGCTCTCGTATGTCCTACTGTCTTGAAATGAGTTTAATGATTGACGTTACTTCAGTTCTCAAGAATGGAAGGTCGTCAAATGCACCATGTCGTGCTATGTCTTGGGTCGAAGCGGCACAGGGTAAGTATCCTGTGCTCAAGATCGGTCACTTATTTATCTCACCACCAGAAAAACGACGACGATGCTGTACAAGATCCTTGGCATTCAGCGAGCTTGGGAATCGAGTGGCATTGACATGCCCAAGCCATGTCAGATTTTTGTCACAAAATCTAGAACACTGGCGACAAAAGTAGGAGAAGACTTCACGAGGCTTCTAAAGTCCCTGACATTGGCTGGCTCTACACTGCAAGAACTTGCCAAACTCAAGGCACAAAGCATTCTGAATGATCTTGTTGATCATGATGACGCTCCTGAGTCGCAGATGAATATACCAATGAGATACAGTCAACTCGAGGACAAACATTTCCCCCTATTCGTGACTTTCGATCAGGTATGTCATCATGTGTTTCATAGACCCTCTTGAAAGCTTATTTTGTTCAGCTAGCAAAGATGATTGCAGCGGATGTCTTCGACATGGACGATCCTAAGATGAGACGTAGCGCTGAACTGTTCTTCACCACCGATGATGCAGAGACACATGATTCGCTTGTCACCTATAATATATTCAAAAATCAATATTGGCCACATTTTCCGCAGGGTCTCACCAAGAACCTCAGTAGTGCTGCTTCCTTTGCGGTCAGATCATACGCTCACATGTCCTACCCAGATTCATGGTTGGTTTTCAGCGAGTTTCTGGGCAAGTACAAATCTGTATCCAATAAAGCAGCTCCTGAACCCCCACATAGGTATCATCAAAGGCTCAGAACAGGCATTGAGCTGTCCGGATGGTGTTCTCGACCGTTCAAGCTATCTCTGCATTTCTCGTCGCTCTAATCCGATTTCTGCGAACCACATGGACAGTGTCTACAATATATTCGAGATTTACAAGAAGTTCAAGAAGTATAAATACCATCTCAATGTTGCGGATCGGTACGAGTCATTTTGCTCCTCATTGATCAAACCCGATGATATAGCCCAAAACAGTATGCACACGATCCTCAAGGTCTTAGGAGATTGGCGGTTTCCTGGTCGACAAATTGATTACCTGTAGGTATATCTCCCAATCGGTTAATCCTAGGTTTTTATCGATTATGTACACCAGGTATGTCGACGAGGCGCAAGACAATCTGTTGATCGATGCACTGGGTAAGTCATGATTTCATTGTTCAACACGAGAGTGTGAAAGAACTTTCTGCTCTAGTTTTGAGGCGATTGTGTAGGAATCCAGACGGACTTTTCTGGGCTGCGGATACTGTGCAAGCGATCTCTGCTGGAAGTTCCTTCAGGTTCAACGATCTGAAAGTGTTTATCTATTGTGTGGAGGTTAGCGACTGGTGGTTGTCTCCCAGATTTTTAATTGATCTATCTTCCTACAGCAGCAAAGTATCTTGGTCAACTCCGCTAGAGCTCCTGTGCATCAACCAACGATGTTCCAATTGGGCATGAACTATAGGTCACACGGTGGCATCGTGAACTGCGCTCATTCTGTCATAGAGCTCATCACGAAGTTCTGGCCAGATTCAATTGATCACCTCCAACCTGAAAAGGGGATGGTGGATGGAGTGAAGCCAATCTTTTTCATGGGCCCAGATGATGACACTTGCTGCAAACAGTTTTTAGTTGGGGAGAGGTAAGTAGCTCAGGCTTTATCATTCCCTTGCTAAGATTCTCACAGAGACGAGCTTGGACCTAACCAATGTAAGTAAAAGGCTTCTGCGCAATACTCTATTCATGGCCTGAAACACTATTCTATAGGCATACTTGTACGTAACGATGCAGCGTGCCAGAAGTTACGAGAACAAGTAGGTGATATTGGAATCATTATGTGGGCCGTCTGTTTGTGCTCCAAGATATTTATGTTCACGTGTCTGCCCAGGACGCTCTATGAAAGCAAAGGCCTTGAGTTCGATGATGTGAGAATGCTGACCTTGGCTACCTGGTGGATGACTGACTCCGGTCAGGTTCTCTTGTACGGCTTTTTTGAAGATTCCGTCATAGATGTGTTGCGGTGGCGGGTAATTCTCAATGGGGTGGATAGTCAAGGTTATGCACCCGATTTTTACCACGACGAGACCCGATATGCTGGAATATGCAGTGAAGTAAGCGACCGCTCGTCAACAAAGGAATGGACATTACTCACTTTTATCTTCATCAGTTGAAACACCTCTACGTGGGAATCACCTGAGCAAGGAAGAACATGCGGATCTTTGACAGGTCTGATAAGTCTGATGCTATGCATGTACGTTTAGACCAGCTGCATGTTGAGCGCTACTTGATCCGACAATCCTCTACTTCAGATTTTCTGGACGTCTCGAAATCTTATCCAGAACTGTGCCCACGACAGCGATATTCCTCCCCTAGTTGTCTCCTTCAATCCAGAAGAATGGGCATCCTCTGGTCGCTCACTGTTCTTGCACAAGCTCTACTCGCAAGCTATGCACTGCTTTCAGCATGCAGGCCGTCTCCGTGAAGTGAAGGTTTGCGAAGCTTATCTACTACGGGAAACAGCGCGTTCCAGCATCGGAGTGGCCTCGCCCAACGTCCAACAAAAAGCTTTTATCACGGCAGCAGATGCCTTTGCTGACTGTGGCGCAGCTGCGACAGGGAATGAGAAATGTCAATATTACCACACCTTGGCGGCTTGCTACGTTCGAGGAGGAGAGGACCTCAAAGCTGCTGATACCTATCTCGTGGCTCAAGAGTTTGGTCTAGCTGTGAAGAGATATCGCAAGGCTGGATCTTTCGACCGGACGCTCTGTGTCCTTACTGACTACTGCACAATGATACCTGAGGAGACCGCGACAGCCTTGTGGACTGCATGCCGGCTTTATTACTGCCGCAAAAGCAACAATCAGTAAGTGGTCGCAGCTTTATGATGATTATGTTTAAGGGCAATTGCACAGAGCCCCATTGTCTCTATTCTCCTCATCTGACGAGGAACTCGAGTTTTTGGAGGCGCATGGCTTGGACTATGCTCGTGTTTCCCTTCTCGAGTCTCACTCAAGGTACTATGAGGTCGCGGAGCTACACTTGTCAGAGAACCGTCCCATGGAAGCAGCTCAAGCATTCCTTGAGGACAACAGAAATGCTGATTCAGCTGCTTGTGCAGCTGACGCTCTTCTGGAATCCCTGTGGTGCAAATACTCATTTAGAATTACCAGAGCTGCCGTTCCTGATGACTCAGTGCAGCATTCTATTGCTCTCACCAATCAGCTGCAGATGTGTAAGGACAGCATGTCCTTTACGCACCGACCTAGCTTCAAAACGAAGACGCTCGAACTCACCGCATGTTCAGCGCAGCCACATGACTCACTGATGCGAAGATCTCAATTCTTCGCATCCGAGTTACGGGGATACATCCCTCTTTAGCCTTCTCCATTTCTTACCGTCATCCTACCTTGTGCTCTCCTTCCATGATACCCGTTTCCTCACTGATATCTCTTTCGTTCCACATGCTCTTCAACTCGTTTCGGATTAGTATGACTCTCTCGCACATATATAAATTGCCCATGTATTCTCACTTTCGATAGCAGAATCCCAGATGCTGATTCCCCGCTCCAAGCTCAACCGAAAACTATCACAGAAAGTACTCATCTTATACGTTTTCTCTACTCGTCTCGTTCACCGTTGCGCTCATCACTTATCTACTTCATCTCGTTACATTTCCCCTTCGAACTCACAACTAGCCTTACAAATTTGGAGCCCACCGCGAGGGGAATTGTTTTCGAGCAACCCCTTGCACCCCGAGACGGATTCGCTGATTTATTACTGATCTTCTAGTCTTTCTCTTAGAACCCGGTCTTTTGACCACTTATTCTCACCATTACTAAATACTATCATCCCAACGCACAGATACGTCAACATCAATCAGATAAGCCACCTGTGCTGGCTCCCTTGACGAACACCGCCACTCCCAAAAAGTACAGAACCCGAGCCAATACCTTCACCGCCTCTGCCACACCCTCGTTCCTCGACGCATCAGCCATTGAACCACCTTCAAGACCATCGGATTTTCACCTAATGCCAGTCCACCCCAAGCTAGAACAACACACCCAGCATCTAGATTCTAGACACTTCGGACAATCCATCCGAATCCTCCCTGAGGCTCAGGCGATGATACCATAAGTCAGCAGCCGCGCTTAAACTCACCCTTCCCCATCCTCCCCTTTCAATCGAAATTTACCCTTAGACCGGCCGTATTTGACCCCAAAACTCCTACATTCCCTCTGATATCCCCTGAACCAGTAAATACCAAAACAATTCCTGCCACCTCAACTATCCCTCTCATTCCAAAACCTGAATTTATCCCTCGAAAAGTATTACCACTAACCCAGACCTCCACGATTGCAACTCCACAACCAGCTATAATCCCTAATCCGCTTATCGTTCTTCCACCCCCAGTCATAGCACTGTTCACACCTTCTCAACTGCCTATCATCATGTCTAATGCATCTAAAGGCATAAATGCGATGCCTGGCGCAAACTCCACCAGAGTGCTGTCTTTCAATGGCAAAACTTCTGAACTCCTCGAGTTCTTCGAGCTATTTGAAGACTTAGCGACGGCGTGTGCACTTACAGATGCAGAAAAGTGCAAGTTGATCGTTCGTTACGTCAACCTTCAGACGAAGCGATTTTGGGTAACACTTATCGGATATGAAAGTAAAAATTTCACTGCGTTTAAGGACAGTATTTTAGCAAGGTACTCCAGGGCGGCCAAGGGTCAGCGATATTCTATTCACGACCTCGAGCGTGTTGTTATTAACAGTGTCGACAATGAAATCTCAACAGAGACTGAACTTTTACAGTACTACAGACAGTTCTGTCCTGTCGCTCACTGGCTTGTTGCCAACGGCAAGATATCCACTTGTGAACGGGACCGTTATTTTTGGCAGGGATTGCCTGCTACTACCCGACACGCCATCGACCGACAACTCGAACTGAAAGACGCCAACTACTTGCAAACAGAAGCTACCGACTTTGAAGAAGTCCTCAAAGCAGGCCGTTTTGTCTTCTCTGATGACACTTTTGATGCCGACCTCAATGAGCCGATAGCAACTAGGATATGGACGATACGAGAAGGACGCACTTCTAGAGTTAAGGCCGCTCCTCACTGGGATTCAGACAATGAAGAGGAGAGAAAAGATGCCCGAAGGGAAGTACAAACCAAGCGAGTCGCCTTCACCCCTTCTCCCCCTGCCCCAGTCAAGAACACCATCGACGAAGTCAAAGCATTGGCATGGAAGATGCATGGCCTTGATATCGGCGACATCACATACTCGGGTTGTTATACCCGACTCATTTGTCTTTTTTTTTTAAAAAAAAATCCAATTTCTGTCTATTTGGGGTGTAGTACCCTATGTAAGACATTACTAACTAGGGGAAAAGGGGGACACCTGTGTCCCCCACCGCATCTCTGACTTCACAAATGCCCTGGTAGAGGGGTGACCTCCACCAGTCTGCTGTTCCTGCCGGCTGTTTTAGATGCACAAGACTTCCAATCTGCGGGACCATTGCTGTGCATTTCGTGTTGTGGAGGTCCCTGGCATGTGTTGGGGATGATACAAGTACTTGAGTCGCTGTGCAACTGTGTACGATGGGAATAATGGAGTGCGGCACTGAAAAAGAAAGGGATAGGAGGGGTATTTTGCGAGTGCATATGAATAGATTGAGTGGGTGAGTGGGCATCGTGAAAAATCCCTTCTACGACCTCTAAGTCATTCTGAACTACCATTTGAACCTCTACTTGGGTCATACTTCCCTTCGTCGACGAGCGTGATAGAAGGGGGCGGCGGCCTGCGCCTTCAGTCGACTGGATCGACTCTACATGGAATCTGGCTGTACATGTACTATTCATCATTTATCATTATGAGAGTGAGGAGAGACATCACTGAATGTAGCTCGTAATCAGCCCGTGCTGTTCACAAAATGGATGAGCAGAGCGATTGCTTTGGGATTTGAGAGTAGATAGGGGATCAAAGAGGCACGGCGGCTGAGAGTCATCGTGAGGATGTGTCGGGCTCAAACATAGTGCAGGCAAGAGAGCAGGTAATGAAGCATGGTTTCCTCTGTTCCTTCGCAGTGTGGACAGTCGGGTGTGAGGCTCTTCCCAATGTGATACAGGTGCTGATTGAGCAAGATGTGTCTGGTGCAGAGCCATAAGAGCATGCTGATATGATGTTTGGGGAGCGGTTGGGCTAAGGAAATGAATGCGCCCTTGAGGACATTAGGGTCTATATTGATGGTGCATTCATAGCATGGGGACTTTTGCCAGAATCTCGCCCAGCGTTCTGACAATTCCTTTTTCTGCTTCTGTTTCAGTGCAGACACGCTGCAGGGAAGGACACCTTTGTGGAGGTATGGGGGAAGGTGGCATCTAGGGCTGGATTCATCTCTGGTTGATGCTGCTCTCTTAGCCTCCTCGTCCACCTTTTTGTTACCCTGAACTCCATCATGCCCTGATATCCATCGAACTATGACCTTAAATCTGCGGTTGTGACTGGATTTCTTCACATTTGTTATTAAGCTGCAGAAATGATCTATCAGATAGTGACCCGGTTTCGTCGAGAATACATCACCAGATTTGATTGTAGCTTGGTTATCCACAAATATTGATACTGGGTACTTGACGTCCTCTTCCTGAGATAGTAGCTGTGCCACTAACATAAGACCTACAGCTTCGGCTTCGTATACTGTGTATTCGTCAGCCTTCCCTAGGTGGTATCTCAAGGTCTTTGGCTGGGGATGTCCGTTTCTATAAAGCACTGCAGCCACCCCAATGTTGTCATTAATTCCGGAACCATCACAATAGATCTTGATCTTGTCGATGACAACGATGTGGTCCTGAACAGCTTGCTCTCATGAAGTGGCGATGGCAGTTTGGTATGGGATTAATGAGCTGGGTGCATGTCTACTATGCGTGATAGTCTCTATTGAGTTGACATCAAGCTCGGTGGTGTGATATAGGTGATGGAGCGAGGATCAATGATGTTTGACGAAACATTTGGCTGCCCTGCGTCCTGGTCCATGTAGAGGGTGAGATGGAGGATGAGCGACCAAGCGAATGGTGGCCTCGTAGCAGAGGTTCTGTGCATGGTGTTCTAGGGGGAGTAGTTTCGCATGAGCCTCCAGTGTATCGGTGGCCATGGTACACATGGCTCCTGTAATGCTTAGGGCTGCTATGCACTGGACTCTGCACAGGCGGGTGACCACACCAATTGATCTGCATTGAGGTTTATCTTGAGTTCCGACAAATAGAGGGCAAAACCACAAATCCACGGCATAAAGCATTTTCGGGAGGGCTACAGCTAAATACAGTTGATGCATGAGTGAGAGTGGTATCCCAGTTGAGGTAGAAGAAAGGTGGTGCAGCTGAAAGACATAGGCAGTTCCTTTCACAATCACATATGCAATGTGCTCTTGCCACCGGAGTGCCTGGTCTAGTACGACCCCCAGGAATCTGTGAGTGGGGGTGGGAGTGATCGTGGTGCTGCGAGGCACGAGAGGAGGGCGTTCTTTGGCAGCATTCATGGAGAAGTCTACTAATGCGAATTTGGAGGTCTCGAACTTTGAGTTATGGTCCCCAGCCCATTCATATCCTCCTCCTGGCCTTTCCAACACGCATTTAAGGATGGCATGTGTTTCCTGAAATGATGACCCTATTGCAATAAATGCCATGTCATTGACGAAAGCCAGTGTCTGTTCTTCCTTACTGCAGCCCGCTGCAATGTCTACCAGGTCAGAGTCGTAAATGATATAGAGAATCATGGACAACAGGTCCCCTTGCCCGATGTGGGTACAACAAGTGCAGGAGTGAGAATCCGATCAACTACACAGTTGGGTCTTTGCTGCCTGCTGCCTCGCTTGGAAACAAGCATGTTCGACCCTTAAGGGGATTGCTACTGGGGAAGCACTAGTCTCTGTCTAAAGCGACCCTATAGGATGAAGGATCCGCAAAAGTGGATGAAATGGATAGGATGTGAAACATATGGATTCGTCGGATGGAGCAGATGATACTTGCGGATCAGATGGGATGCGAATCAAAGTCGAAGGAAGTTCATTAAAGGTTGGATGGATAGTGGGTATAAGTCAAAGTGATCTTCTGGTAAGGTGCAGGAAAAGTGGGAGGAAGTTACATGAAGTAAGTATTTTCAAGGAACACTTGGTATAGGTAGCGAGTCTAGACTGTGCCATAAGCTATCCGGAAAATAGTGGAGTGTGAGAGGATATGTCTGTGTTCAGTCAGTAACAAGGAAATGCGTGTGAGTATGTACCAATGAGGTAGAATAGACGTGGACAGGATGGATGCATGAGCTATAGGGGGAGATCCAAAGGTATCCGCTTGTCATCTGCAAAGCGGATGGGTATCAGATGGAATGGATAGGTGTCGGATGGATGCCTGATGCATCGGAAAAGTGGTGGATATGAGCCTAGCATAGGGATACTCCCTACACCGATACCATTCTGTATTGGCATCCATTCCAATAGGTGGCCATCAAATTTGAGCTGAGTGCGTCTTCCTATCAATAAATGCTCAGTGAAACCTACTAAATGACAAAACTTTGAGTGAAGCGGACGCGATCCGTTAGTACCCTAAGCGATGCGGATCGGGTCTGCGGATACACCTAAGTAAAGCGGATGGAATCTGCACTCAGCCGCTGCCAAAGGAGGTGATAGAAACGACTGAGGGAAAGTATGTACAAAAGCACCTCTAATATATGGGCAAAAACCTGCTTGCTAACCGACCATGCATATCGCCTATGAGTCCATGACTTGTATTGAACGCACTCACTATTATATGTACACCCGAAACATTCCAAAACAATCCGATGCACCTTATTACGTATCCAAGCGCATGCACTTGCATCCGACCACGCATGCGAGTGACAGATCATCCATGCGTGCATGGGCAAGCATCGGATGGGAGACGGATACCCGCGGATGGGTTTAGGATGGGTCAGATGGATGTGGAATATCATCTGGTTTTGTCACTAAAGCCTTGGGTAGACACCATGATCTCATGTTGTGCAAAAGCTGGTCAGTTACTGCATTTGGGAAGGCACCCTCAATATCTAAAAACAGAGCTGAGACTACTTTCCCTTGTTGCCACGTGTCCTTGATAGTTGCTTCGAGTAGATGTAGTGAGTCGGTCGTGGACGTTCCAGGGTGGCCTCCAAAATGAGTGCTGGGGAGCAAGTTGTGGTGTTCTAACAGGTAGGTCATTTGATCGGCGACCACCGCCGTTAAGAGCTGGCATGTCGTGTTTAAGAGGGCGATGGGGCGGTATGCCTTGGTGATGGTATAGTCCGGCTTGCCAGGTTTCTGTAAAATGACTGTTGTGAAGTCGCGCCACAGAGGATAGTAGGTCTTGAGTGTGTAGGTGGCCCTGAAGAGATGGAGTAGAAAGGGGTTGAGTAAGGCAGCACTACGAATGAAAACAATGTTACAAATCCCATCAGGGCTGGGTGCCTTGTAAGGACTTAGTTTTGCAATACTTCTGGATAACTGGGGCTCGGTGATGGGAGAGGGTGAAGGGACCGGGTCCGGATATATTGCATCATGCAGAACAGAAGAAGTAGCTGGGGGTGGTGGGAAGAAAGCCTGCGCCAGTGCTGCACTTTTTTCTTCATTGGTATCAGCTGTAGTGTTGTCCGGGCGTCGCAGTGTGGGGATCCTCAAGAGGCCTCCGTCGCCCACCACTGCTGTGAGGTACTTGTTGGCTGTCCAGATTTCATTGCCATCGATCTCTTCAAGCCAATTGATCCAGTGTTCTTTCTTGACTTGCTTGATGGTTTCTGAGTATTGGTTCCTCTTGACGCGGTGTTCCTCGTGGCTAGGATGGTCAGTGTCAAATCTCGACTTGTAGGATAGGTGACTTAGTTTCGCGACTTCCCGACGTAGGATGGTCAGGTCATTGGTCCACCAACACTTGGAATGGGGGTTTGGCTTCGATTTTGGGACATGTCGTGCCATAGTATTCTGGATTGAGGTCATGAGAGCGTGGGCTGCCCTTTGGAATTCCTCGTCAGTAACGAGCGGTTGAGCTGGGGGTAGTTTGTCCAATTCAGTGGCCAGGTGTTCATTGAACTCATCCCAGTCCGTCTCGGTGAGGTTGGGTGCGGAGAATTGCGTCATGGGGTATATGGCATGGAAGTATGGGGATGAGACAGTGTTCTTCAGTGAGTTAATATGGGGCTCTTGTAAAGCTACTATGTCCCAGTCACAGGCTATCGGGCTATTAAGGAGGGAGTGCTGTGCCGTAAGTGAGGCATTGAGATTTTGTTGCCATACGTGTATTCAAGTCGGTGTATTATTCTGGTGTTCAGACATTAGAGGGAGGGGGGGACCGGGGGGATGCTGTGAGTGTAGGAGTAGGGGTTGAAGGTGGCAGGATGTTTTTGGATGCTTGGGATTCTGTGTTGGAGTCCCAAGTGCTGGTGGTGGTGATGGGGATTGAGTTTGAATCTGTTGAAGTAGGTGCTTGGAATCCTCGGTGACCAGGATGGAATGGTGCTCCCCAAGCATGATATCCTCTGATTGGGCGCTGAGGTTCAAATGGGATGTTCGTCTGACAGAGGTTGGGATGGGGGTAGTCCATTGGTTGTGGTGGTGCTGGCTTGTGATAAGGGGCTGGTTGTGGGGGGAGCATTACCTGGGTCCATGAGTTGTCAGTGGGGAAGAATGGCATAGAGTTTTCGGGGTTCTTAGTGTCTATGCCTGCACATTTAGATTCAAATTTGGGGCATTTCCTGTCCCAACTGGTGTGCTCTTGAGAGTCACAGCTTATGCAGTAGAAGGTGTGATATGCATTGCAGTCATTCGTGCGGTGACTTTTCCCACATGTGCCGCAGACGTCGCATGGGGCTTGGCAGTCTCGTGCGATATGTCCCCAGAGTTGGCAGCATATGCATCATACTGGCTCCCGTTTGTCTTTTCGAGGATGCAACTTCTCTTGACCAATGTAGATGCCGTCCTGGAGAGTGTTGTTGGCTGAGTGGGGGTCCGCAAAGTGGAAAATCGCATGTGCGACTCATTGCTATGGCGATCTGCAGAGTCGAGGCTTGATCCAGTTAGCTGATTCAATGGTGCCTGCAGTCATACTATTCTCTTCCTCAACTGTATGTAACCAAGCTGATTCTTCGACGCTAGAAGTGATAGGTAAGAATGGGACAATAATAGAGAAACACCTCCCTTTGATGGTGGCAGGTATTCTGAGAGCAGAGGTTATCTTGAGTTGGTTTCTGGTACCCTAATCCATGTAGCAGCTTCTGTGGAGGTAAGTTCCACTATTAGACCTCTATTGCGAAGGCGTGTGATTGCCTTGATTTGAATAGTTGGCATGTCGTCCAATTCAGTTGCTGTGAATGCTAGTTTCATTTTGGTCACTATGTCTACTGAAGTTATGTCGGGTGCAAATAGGGCTTGACCCGGAGCTGGATTGAATATGATTTGCCGGTCTCTTGTGGATGCGCGAATAAGCGCTGCCGAGATTGGGGTCGGGGTCTGTGCACTTTGTTGGGCGACCACACTGTATGACTTCGAGGTTGCCGGTTGAATTGCACTGGGGGGAGGGGTTAGTGAATCTATAGTGTTTTTAACATCGGTGATACTGCTTAATATGGCATCAGCTGCGAGCTCAGCACATGTGGCAGTGTTAAGACCGTGCTCAGGGGTAAAGCGGAGTCTGAGGGGCTTGGCTTCAGCTCGTGCGCTGCGCCCCTTACCCGAGTTCGTGCCCCTAATTTTGGAATGTAGTCCGACACGAGTTCTATGGGTTCCAACAGGACGTCAGAGCGGAGGTCCTCTGAAGGAGGACCAATGGACTACTAGGTGAGCATGGGAAAGTCGGGCGGGGGTTGTTCCGCCCGACAGGAGGGAGGTGGGAGACTACTGCGGTCAGAACCAACAGTAGCAGCGGAGCAGAAGGAACTGCTTGGACAAAGTCCAAAGCAGAGCAGAACAGAGGGGATGGATGCGAGAGTGCGGGGTCTAGTTCTGATGCACAGGAAGTCGGGTGAGCGGAGGGACAGAGGGACAGGGGAATGGGGGAATGGGGGAGCAGGGGAACAAGGGAACGGGGGAATGGAGGAGCAGGGGAACGGAGGAGCGGAGGATCAGAGGATGGCCAACCTAGGGAGTCAATCCCCTAGGCTGGCTTAACTGGAGTTGACTAGGATCAGGCCCAAGTCAAAGAACAGAAGAGCAGGGCTTAGAAAAGGTAATATTCAGACTGAGTATCTACAGACAAATGTACATAAGTTTATATACTCTAAGTGATGAGCATAGCATAGCAGAAGGCTATGTGCTGAGTGTACAGGATTACTAGAGGATGACTGAGACATAAGAGAATCAGGCTTGGAGAACAATATGTACGCGACAGATCAATAATCGCTAGGGTATAGGAATTACCGGTGATCTGAAAAGCGGAACTATGATACTAAACGGGGATAGGACCAGTTGAGTGGTTCCTAGTCTAGGAGTTGACTGGTGAGGCGGTCGGACAGACTAATAGTTGGGTGGGACAAGACGAGCGGAACTGAGCAGGTCAGAAAAGCAGAGGGAGTAGGAGTAGGATTGGGCGGACCAATAGGGCGGAGGAGCAGAACCCCAGATAAGGTTGGATGGACAGGGTATGGTGTTGGAGGACATAGGGGTAGTGTCGGAAAAGCGGAACTGGGTTGGGCGGAGGTAGCAGGGCTAATCCTGCTGAGATGCACTTCGTGCATTTTTCAGGGAAGGAGGAATGAGTGGACGGGGAAACAGGGGGTCAGACCGGGGGTGGGGATGTTCACAGGTGGTATTGGGGGTGCTCGGATCCGGTATATGACAGGCAGCTGCAGACACAGATGAGTTGTCTTCCTTCGAGTTTTCTTCTATGACTGTCTTGAATTTCACAATTGCGTCAACATTTGATTTGGTTGTCTCCAAGGCCGTTAAGATATTCGTGACTTGGGGTGAGATAGCCGCAATGACATGGGATGATAGCATATTCAAGAGGTCTGCCACTAGTTGGGCTGAGAGGGAGGTCGAGAGGGAGTCCATTAATTGCTGGATGGATGGTGCTGCTTCTGGTCTGGTTTTGATGCCATCTTCCAATATCAGAGCTACTGCCCTAAGTCCTTCTATGGCGGTGCAGGGGATACCTGTGTATTGGGTGATATGGAGGATTGTTAAGGTCGTGCTCAAGGGAGAGGTTACTCAAAGGGCTTCGGCTTCAGCTCGTGCACTGTGCCCCTTACCCGAGTACGTGCCCTTAATTTCCGGTGGGCAGAGGGGAAGTCCGACGGAAGTCCGGGGAGTTCCGGAGGACAAACATCAGTGGAGTTCGGTGGAACTCCGGAAGACTATGTGGGGACAGAGTAAGGCTACTATGGAAATCCGGAGTAGAAACAGAACAGAGGTTAGACTACCCTAAGGTAGAGCTGGAGGATTAGTCCTAAGGTTTAACCTCTAAGACTCAGAGGTGGACAAGAGGTGAGACTCAAGTCCGGAGATTTACAGGAATGAGCAGAACTAAGATGATTTTTGAACTGAGGAGTTCCGGAGTATTACAGGGGTTTATATACTGTAGGTATCATGTAAGTAAATCAGTCAGCAAAGGTAAGGGCTATGTACAAAGCATATGGAAAGTCTATTAGTAAGTGTAACGGATCAAAGCAGTGAAGTTGGAAATGAAGTAAGAATGGACGGATCAGTAGGCATAGCAGAATAGGACATAACCAGTAACTGGAGCTATAGCTAATCTAAAAGGAGTTAGGGGTGAGTGCGGAGATGACGGTGGAGCACCGGGCGGAGTAGCAGGATGGAGGACTGGACTTTAATGAAGTAGATCCGGAATTCTGGATCCGGAGGTACGGGATATGACAAGGATTGTGAGTATTAAGTTTTCATTTGACATAGGTTTGCCTGATTGGTGGAATGGGGACTTCTCTAGAAAAGCAATGCCGCTTTCTGTTAAGGTCGTGCTCAAGGGAGAGGTCACTCAAAGGGCTTCAGCTTCAGCTCGTGTGCTGCGCCCCTTACCCGAGTACGTGCCCTTAATTTCCGGGGGATAGAGGGGAAGTCCGACAGAAGTCCAGGGAATTCCGGAGGACAGAAGTCAGTGGAGTTCGGCAGAACTCCAGAAGACTTATATGGGGATGGAGTAAGGCTACTATGGAAGTCTGGAGTAGAAACAGAACAGAGGTTAGACTACCCTAAGGTAGAGCCAGAGAAGTAGTCCTAAGGTTTAACCCCTAAGACTCAGAGATGGACAAGAGATGAGACTCAAGTCTGGAGATTGCAGGAATGAGCAGAACTAAGATGATTTTTGAACTGAGGAGTTCCGGAGTATTACAGGGGTTTATATACTGTAGGTATCATGTAAGTAAATCAGTCAGCAAAGGTAAGGGCTATGTACAAAGCATGTGGAAAGTCTATTAGTAAGTGTAACGGATCAAAGCAGTGAAGTTGGAAATGAAGTAAGAATGGACAGATCAGTAAGCATAGTGGAATAGGACATAACCAGTAACCGGAGCAATAGCTAATCTAAAAGGAGTTAGGGGTGAGTGCGGAGATGAAGGCAGAGTGCCGGGCAGAATAGTAAGACGGAGAACCGGACTTCAATGAAGTGGATCCGGAATTCCGGATCTGGAGGTACGGGATATGACACTTTCTTTGTCTCTGACTTCATAGTCCTGTAACAATATTTCATCTTTTGGCAGCATCAGAGAGACTGTATTACGGTGGGACATTCTAATTTTGTTGGTTGGGGTAGGGGCCCAAGCGTTTGGTGCACCAGTTCCTGTAGGTGTTGGACGCATCTTTGCAGAGGCTAGAGTCATTGGAGTTGACAGTAGGGGCTGTTGGGACTTGTCCGAAGGGTTTTTTGTAGGGTTGCAAGGGGCCTGTGAGGCGTCAGTGATGCCTGGTGCACTGATGGGCGCAGTACTGGATTCCGAAGTTTTGGGGTCCTAGTCGGGGTGCCACTTGGTAACAGACCAAGGAGCGATGACTTGTTTGTCTAGCTCCTGCAGCCACGCAGGCATGGGCACCCCCCAAATCCCGCCAACTCATCAACAATTCCGTCCCAGCTCAAAATGCACTACCCTATCTCCCTCTTCCTCCCCTTCCTTCATCCTCTAACCACTCACCAAATGCCAAGTGTTTCTTCTGTGGAGGACCTCATGTTATGCATACCTGTTCCACGGCCGGAGAATACTTGCGTGCAGGACAGATTATCTGCGACGGGTCATACTTTGCATACCCTGATCATTCGCGCATACAACAATAAGGAAATGAGATCTTCAAACAGGTTATTGACGTGCAATATGCCTCTCCTCACCCATCAACACCTGCCACAGGATCCAACTCAATTGTCCTTGAGAATCCTTGATGGGAGCCCACCTCACCACCTATCCTATCGGACATCCCCAGCTCCACCTTCATCACAGAATTGTACTTTTTGCAGTGCGACCCTGTTATCGAAAACCATGCAGTCATTGTAACTGTTGAAGAAGTCAACAAGCAGACAGCTTCACCAAGCTCGGAGTACCCATGCCCACCATGACACTCTTGGCTAATGCACTCAAAGCAGCCAGCCTACCTCTACTTCAGATCAAACATGCAACTCCATTGCAAGAAATCCGCGTCACGCTAAATGGGACCCATTCAGAGTTAGGATTGCTGGATGAAGGATCAGAAATTGTTGTGATTCGAGAGGACATTTGGAGGAAGACGAACACACCAATCAACCAAGATGTGCAGATGTGGATGCAGACTGCTAATGGAGGATCGCAAGAGATGGGAGGTTGCCTAGAGATGTTGGAAATAGACGTAGGTGGGATCAAGACATGGGCAAATGCTTATGTAGTACCAAATGCCCCATACCGCTTACTCCTGGGACGACCTTGGCAACGACTCGTACATAGGGAACTGCATGGGTAAACCCATGGGTATGGACAGTCGTACCTGTACCTGTACCTGGAGATATACCTGTACCCGTGGTGTGGGCACGGGTTTTACTACAGGTATCAACATAACAGACCTGGGGTATTACCCACAAGGGGTATACCCGCAGGTCACTATGAAGAGCATTGTAATGAATAGTACTACTAGGATACTAACAACAAATGTAATACTATTCTACCTGGATTCTGTCCCAACTGTCATATACCTGATCCGACCGCTCCAATATCAATATCCGCCCCGCTTTCCGACAACCTCCGCTCCATCTATTCCTCTGCTCCGTCCAACCATCATCCGCATCCGCCCCTACACTTCCGCTCGACCGCCCAACTGGTCCCCTTCCATAACAACTCCATTCAACTGGACCTCTTTCCCCTTTTAGATATATACTTTCCCCTTCGGTACATAGACCCTTACTTCCAGATCACCGGTAATTCCTATTACCGCTCGATCACTGATCCGACGTGTACATATTGATATCCGCTCCAACTTATGTCTTCACCTGTGTAAGTACTTACAAATTATATCCTTGGTACATAGCTTTACAACATAGTTATCCTGGTCACTGCCTCATACATAGAAGTATATAACATATCATGTACTTAAATATTTTCCCCAGTCTTAATATTACTTGTCTTCTCACAGTTACCTCTTGTGAGAATTCTCAGTAGGACCTTGCCTCCTCTGGACACAAGTCTCAACTTGTTGTCACCTCCGACCCTCCGACCCTCCGCTCCGACTTAGAGCCGTGCTCTAAGTGTTCCCCTTATTTCTCTGCCCCTATCAATATTCCCCTTGTCCCTTTTCCCATCCTCCGCCTTCCCTGCTCCTACCAAACACTCCCCCTGCCCCTATCTACCCTCCGCATCACTCCCTGCCTTCTCTGCTCCGCTCCTAGTCAGCCCGCCACTAGTAGCTCTTACTTCCTGACCCTCAAAGCAGACCTAAGCGGTCCACTTGTCCTATCGTCAGACAACATTGGACCTGCTCCAAATTTGGGGCATGTACTCGGCTAAGGGTGCAGTGCAAGAGCTGAAGCCAAGCCCTGACCCCTCTGCCTCCTGAGCTGGCATGGTACCTAACAGGACATCAGAATGGGGGTCCTCTGAAGGAGGACCAACGGACTACTTGGTGAGTGTAGGAAAGTCGGGCGGGGGTTGTTTTGCCCGACAGGAGAGAGGTTGAAGGCTACTGAGTCAGAACCAACAGTAGAAGCAGAGTGGAAAGGACTGCTCGGACAAAGTCTGAAGCAGAGCTGAACAAAGGGGACAGATGTAACAGGGTGTTGGGATCAGTTCCGACATGTGGGAAAGGCAGCCAATGCACAGGGAGTCGGAGGAACGGAGGAACGGAGGACGAGGAACGGAGGAACGGAGGAACGGAGGAACGGAGGAACGGAGGAACGGAGGAACGGAGGAACGGAGGAACGGAGGAACGGAGGAACGGAGGAACGGAGGAACGGAGGAACGGAGGAACGGAGGAACGGAGGAACGGAGGAACGGAGGAACGGAGGAACGGAGGAACGGAGGAACGGAGGAACGGAGGAACGGAGAACGGAGGAACGGAGGAACGGAGGAACGGAGGAACGGAGGAACGGAGGAACGGAGGAACGGAGGAAGGAGGAACGGAGGAACGGAGGAACGGAGGAACGGAGGAACGGAGGAACGGAGGAACGGAGGAACGGAGGAACGGAGGAACGGAGGAACGGAGGAACGGAGGAACGGAGGAACGGAGGAACGGAGGAACGGAGGAACGGAGGAACGGAGGAACGGAGGAACGGAGGAACGGAGGAACGGCCAACCTAGGGATTGAATTCCCTAGGTCAGCAAACAGGAGTTGACTTGGGTTAAGCCTAAGTCAAGGAGCAGGAGAGCAGGGCTTAGAAAAGGTAAGATTCAGACTAAAGATCTACAGACAGATGTACATATGTTTATATACTCTAAGTAAGTAACATAGCATAGCAGAAGGCTATGTGCTGAGTGTACAGAATTACTAGAAGGATGACTGAGACATACAAGAAAAGGCTCGGAGAACAGTGTGTACATGTTAGGTACCGTGCTGGGCTCAAGAAGTGGAGGGGTCAGGGCTTGGCTTCAGCTCTTGCGCTGTGCCCTTAGCTGAGTACGTGCCCTGAATTTGGAGCAGGTCCAACATTGTCTGACGATAGGACGAGTGGACCACTTAGGTCCGCTTTGAGGGTCGGGAGGTAAGAGCTACTAGCAGAGGACCGACTAGGAGCGGAGCGGAGAGGATGGAGGGTAATGGGGAGGGTGGAGAGGAGCAGGGGGAATACTTGATAGGAGCGGAGGAGGCAGAGGATAATGCAGAGGGCAGAAAGGAGCAGGGGGAATACTTGATAGGGGCAGAGAAGTAGAGAGAAGACTTAGAGCACGGCTCTAAGTCGGAGTGGAGGGTCAGAGGTGACAACAAGGTGAAACTTGTGTCTAGAGGAGGCAAGGTCCTACTGAG